AATAATCGCAAAGGTAAAAAAAAATTTGCAAAGTTGGTATCAATTCTGTGAGAAAATGCACTCATGGCCACTAGACAATCATTCAACAATCTGTTTACAAAGGTGTACTGTCTTTAGCCAACTCAGTTCATGCCAAAAAGCTCACCCTCCCTTAGGGAGCTATCCCCCAGGCTGTTATCAGGTTATTGTTTACCGTGACTGTTTGCCCAACAAAGCTGGGACAGCTGTTTTGAGCCTGCAGAGAACAGGTTGTATGGCCGTTATCAGTATGTGGGATCGGTTTACATGGTGTTTAGCCTGGACATGATGTAAACTGACCCCACAGCCTGAGTCGGCATGTGCACGATAACAACAGTGTGTATGTGTTCACAGCAATGCAACTATAAGATACTTCAGAAAAGCACAGACTTGACTGAATAGAATGTAGGATTATTTCTTGATCTTTTAGAGTACAGATTATCTTTATTTTATTGATGATGACGACTCCATCGAAAAAAAGATCGAGTTCTCAACAGTCAATGTTACACTTTGTCACCCAAAAAGTTAGGTGAGACATTATTTATATATTGGTACTCCAGAGATCTATAAATTTTGTAAACTAATGAACTACATTGTAATCTTGAAAAATTAACTTGAACTGTAAAATTTATCTGCTCTTTTTGAGCGTATGAATTATTTGGAATAATTTTACAAATAGGTAGATACAGAGAGGGGTGAAGTCCAGTTGGCGTGTGGCGTTGAAAAAATGACTGTACTTATGGCAAAATGAACCCACAATTTCTGACTTCTGATTGAGCAATGAATAACAGTTAAAATGCACCAGAATGCAGTATTATACATACAGTTTTTAAAAATTTTCCACACCGTGGGAGTGAGACACACCCTCCCCCCCCTCCCCCTCCCCCTCAGAACCTTCGCCCCCTTGTGTCCGCTTACTGCCCCCCCCCTGGCATTTTGCTTAGGCTACAGCCCTGTGTACAATACAATATCATAACAACAATACAATCGGTGCATTACCATTCTCTAATTGGTAATTGTGTAGCCAGTTTGTGACTGAACAAATATATATCTTTGTATAATGAACAGATGTACTAATTAAATGACTACGTAATGAAATATTCAAGCTAAGTGGTGAGATATAACGTGTTGGTGTGATTATAAATTTACCATAGAGACAAATTGTGAAGCATACGGCTACAATCATATCTTACACATTATGGAGTGATTCAAATTTACAAGGATTGGAGGAAGAACTACAATTACAAAGAGAAAGAAAGAAATACCACAAATAGAAATATTGTGACTCTTGGCCATGTGCCATGTGCTTGTGATGATTATTAAACAAGCATGTTGGAAACAACAGATCAGGAGTATTAAGCTGTTAATTTGATTGCATTCAGCAAGAGTCCCCCATGCAGTTAGTGTGCACAAGCTATAATGATAGACTTTTTATGAATGCACCCTACATACATTTGTATGTGTCCTTGCTTACTGGAGTGCAGTTTATCAAGCATGTAAATGCAGCTAGGACACATTATATACTATAATGCTAGAGAGGAAATATTTCTATAATGTATATACAGGTACCTACCATTCAGCCATATGGGATTATCTGTACCACAGTCTCCTTCAAAATGGCAGGTCACAGGCATATCATTTCCAGTTATCATGTCAAATCTGAACCAACCCTCCTCTATTTTATCATCACATGCTACTGCTTCAATGGCATTCTTATGGTACATGGTACTCCTTGATATGTCACCAGTGACACGTGTGCTAGCAAAGCATTCATCAATCTCTGAAAAAAAGAACAATTATATTAAAGTAACCATCAGAAATATAAATTTAAATACACGAAAATGCATTTCTGTGCCCAGAGATGTGTGAAAAAAATTCAATCATATGAATGCCTGATCGAAAAAAATGTGCTTATTACCAGGTATGATGCACATGGATGGCTGTAGAGAATAAGAGCTTGATTTACTTGATCCTTTTACATTAACCAATATTTTTTTCTTTATCATAATAATTGTTTTAGGAACACATTTTTTGTACCTCTACAGGTGTCCACATAGTCTTCACAACAATCTCCTGCTTTAGTGCAATGTTCATCACAATAACAGCTGCGTAATTCCACTTTACAGGAACTGTTTTTGCCAGAGCAGCAGCCCAGTTCAGAACAGGATATTGGGTATTTGATCTCACACAAAACTCCCTGTAAATCACTTGTACAATCATGCCAAAGACCAGTAGAGGTATCAATACACAGATATGGCTGTGTGGATGGATCTTCAGGCTGACCAACTGCCCAAGACATGACTGATGGATTTACTGGTTCTCCAGTAAACCACACCCATTGATCTGTATTGTAAGTTCCTCCCAGCAGTAGCATCCGTGGAGTAAAGGAACCTAATGGATAACAACAAAATAAATGATAAACTAATGGTTTATTTAAAATGCTGCATTTAAATAAAATTATATAATATCCTAATAAAACTATATTACTGCTCAAACTACTACGTAATTATGTACAATGTACTAGTATATGCATGGAGCAGTGCCATGTTTTGAGGTTTCCATGTGATTTATTTTTAATTTTAATTTATTTTTATTTATTTATTTTTCATTTCAAGGAGTCATTAATCATTAGTTTTTCTTAATTAATATTTATCTAATTCAACTACATTATTTTATTAATAAATCTTCTTTAACCACTTTATAATTTTCATAGTTATTGTTATGGAGTGAGGAAGAATATTTAAGCTACAGTGCAGCATGCAGAGGTCTGAATGTGTGTGTGGGAACATTTTAGCACATTATATGCCCTCTATAGTTCAATCAATCTATACTTACTATTTAGACATATTTCAGTCAGTATGGTGCTCTCTTCAGTTGTGTCAACTAAGACAACATCACCTCCAATTGATTGACATGTCTGCCTTGCACTCTGAACCGTTGTAAAACTAGGATCCTCAATGTAGCAAGTGTTTTCATGGCATTTCTCAAAATATGGCACTGGAATTTAAACCAAAAAAAAAAAAATCAATTCCCAGATAGTAATTTTTAAATTTGGATCCTTACCTGATCTAAAAGTATATTCAGTTTATTTTGTGTACTCATTTTCCCATTCTATCTACCAGGTACTACAGGTACATTAAAGTTTGCTAAGGATTCTGAGACAGAAATATATGTACCTCTTGTGCCTATATCCAAAGACTTTTTTCTACAAATGACTCCTGCATCTTGTGAATGTGTGCAGCCTGTTGTGTCCCCCCAGTCGCTGTGTCTACAACGGAACAGGGACATCTCTCCCTCATCACAGTCGACATCTGACAGCCATATCACACCTGAATGAGACCCAAATGACCCTCCACCTGCCACTCTAGAGCCATTAGACCTTAAAAACAGATGACATGCATTTTGTTTATTCAAAAATTAAGTTTTGATACATGTTCTTTGGAAAAGATTATCTTTCTAAGTCAAAACCCTAGATAAATTTTGAAGTTCATTTCTTTGGAGCCATTCAAATAAAGGCCATATTTTGCCTTAAACTAATAAGTATTACTGTCTGTATTAATTTCATGAATTTTTTATCTTAAATATTTCTTATCATCTCTCAGCTACTGCACACTTACTCATATCCAAGTGTCTCACAGACAGCCTCAGCATGCAAGTTATTCCAATTTCCTCTGTTACAAATTGTCCCCCATTCATTCTCATAAAACACTTCAACCCGACCTTCATATGGTGTGGAACCACCCACTAACCGGATATTTCTATTCCAGGAATATGGAACTGTCGTGACATGAAAAGTAATTAATATATGCCATGCTTGGCCTCCTGGAACTTAAACTATAATGATGTGTTCCCACCTGTTTAAATGAAGGTAGATAAAGCTCCCCACATATGGCCTAATTACTACTACTCACTTACTATTGTTATACAGTAATGGCTTTAGGTTAATATCAAAAAAGAGATTAAAAAAATAGAATAAAATATCGAAAAAAGGACTCGGAGAGATTCATACATGTACATCCACCACGGTAGCTGAATATTTACCATTATTATTATTCATTAATCAGTTATCTGATTATTTAATTAACACATTATTTAATTAATTAATCACCACTAAAATCGAACTATCTCTGACCTTTCCTGAAAATCTCAACAAAATACCCCCATAACAGTTTGCATTATGTTGCTAACAGACAAACAGACATTTCAAATTACCTAATTAATGGATCATCTCCAAAATCTACTTGTTTGTTATTTGGTCTGCTCCCAACAGTTTTTGAAAAGTAATGTTACTCACAGACAAATCACAAAATCTAGTCATTTCTTACTTGGTTCACTCCTGAAAGTTTCTGAAATTTATCCATAAAGTTGCTTACAAACAAAAAGACAAGGGGATAAAAAGACAGATAAATGAAACTAGCGCAACAAATACTCACCACCACAGTATGTATAATGGCACCCTGAAATTAAGGGCAGCTGGTACACATAGTAACTTCCTGGACACATCTTGATATTAACACTAGTTGACCAAATACAACAGTCACTGTTCCAGTAGCCACATGCAGTACGACTCACAACATCATCATTTTGTCCAGGATGTGTCCCCTGTATCCACATTGGTCCATGTGCACCACAACTAAATTTTGGCACACACTATGTCAAAAAATAATATCACTAATTTTAATTATAAATTAATACAGAAAGCTGTGTGTGTGTGTGTGTTTGTGTGTGTGTGTTTGTCTGGTGGGGCATGGGCTGGATGGGTTGGACTTAAGTTGCTCGAGAAAGTATCTCTCCTCTGTCAGTCACAAGAGATATGACAAGTCTGATTATATAAACATTCAGTGCCCCCAGTTTCAGATTTGTTGTGTACCTGAGTCTTCACGTTTTCCAAATGTCCATATATGCATTATTTGGAGTGTCATATACTGATACAGAGATAAGAAAATTATGGTGCTCACTCAATAGTTGGAATTCATTCTAGATCATGAAGTTGCTTAAAGATGAAAGGTTATTTCACTGAAACGGAATGTTTTCGAAACTCATTTAATAAGATGGATAGATAGAGCAAGTGTATAAAACCTACTCTCTCTGGCATCATGTCTCCAGCAGCTCCAGTGAAGCGGTACCATGCATTAGCAGTAAGATAACTTTGGTCACAGTTCACAGTTCCAAGGACCCCTTGTCCCGTTAAAACATTTCTGTATGGATCAGTTAGGTTGGTGTATGAAGAACAAGGATCACTGCCTGTAAACAATACCTTATGGTGAGATAAGATTGACTAGGACATAAAAAAGGAAAGATTATTCAATTCAACGCCATCAAATGTTCAGATATTTATCATCTCTATAAAAGTTTTTAAAAATTTATTTTCACATCTCCTTCATACAATCTAACCCTGTACAAGCATCTCTATAGATCTTAAATAAAATTACCAATTAGGACCCTCTGTCTCAAGTTTGACCATAATTTAAATAAACATTTTATCATGAAACAAAACGGTTCTAGACTAAGGGAAATTCAATATTTGGGTAATAGGCCTACATTGTCTATAATTTTTACCCATCGCTATCTATTTTTTTTTTTTTTCGAGAGAGAGAGAGGGAGAGAGAGACCCACCTGCTGACCACGCACTGAAAACTGTAAGGAATAGAAAAGTTACCCTTCCATTTCTCTGGCGGCCAAGACCGCCTTCCATGTCTGCTCTGTTTGTACCAAAGACGTCAAATAGTTACCGATCTTTCGGGAAGTTCCAACACTCAAATGTCTGAATGACATGCTCTGTTCATGTTTTTTAACTTGGTGTAGAATTTTGACTAGCTGAATAGTAGTTTATTAATTCAATGAAACTTCTAAGAAGGCCTTGTTTAAATGACAAATATCCTTACATACTCCATTCAGGGATATAAAAGACGTTGCTATTTACACCAGCAGTTCTTCCCAGAAAGTTACCGGCTATCGGTGAAAAAATCCCAAGGGGGGTTTCCCTTTACCTGTCGGCTTTGAACCCGTCTTCCAAGGGCGAAATTTTATTGGCTATGCAGACTTGCATGCAAAGCATAAGCCTAGGGTTGTTTTCTTTAAGCAACAATGATCAGATTTTGTGAAAGACCAGCTTCTGTTTAACTTATTTACAAAACAAACTTCCGCGTTTCAAATACGTATAGAAGGTAGGCACTATTAAATTTCCATATTTTCATCGAAATTTCTTTGGACCAACTATTGCTTTATAGCATACAACAAATAGCACTAAATGTGTCTCAAGCTTCTCTCAGATGAATAAACAGAATCCAAAACGTCTTAAAATTTCCCGCTTAAACTAGAGAGAGAACGCAATAGCAGGTGGAGGGCTCAACATTAAAAAGGAGAATTTATTAAGGGAGGGTTGTTGGAGAATAATGTGGGGACTTCCTTGAAGTATAACATCTGTTGGCTGGAATCAAACCGCGACGCAATTATGTAAATGACTGAATTGAAACAATGGGCAGCCCCCCCTCCCCCCCATACCCCTCCCACTCCCACTCCCACCACACCCAGCTTCCTGCGCTCAGGACTGCCGATGTTGAAAAAAGTGGGTTTCTGTCTACCCCTATCAGGCCCGTAGCCAGGGGGGTTCGGGGGGTTCGAAAGAACCACCCCTTTTGCTGGGAAAAGGTCCACTCTGGGTAAAATTTGATCTAGGTACATAAAGTTTTTATGGGAAAAGGTCCACTTTTTCAGAAAAAGAACCCCCCCCCCCTTTTGAAATTGCTGGCTACGGGCCTGCCTATGTATGATACAAGTGTCTATCTACTCAAATTATATGTAGTCAATATCAAATGGGCTGTTTGAGTCGAAATTTATCCAGCTAACAGAAAACCTGATACTCCGTTCATCTCGATTTCCAACCCTTTTTATTTGGTCCCAGGGCAAGTGACAATACGTCAGATATGACCGGTATGTCAGTGGTCCTATTTGTGACGTTAAAGAATGAGACACCTATTTCTATGCCGACAAAGTAGAAGAGCCGAAGCGACAGTTAAAGGTACACTGTCACTCATTCTCGTTATATAGGTTCATTCTTTTTTTTTTTTTAATTTCATGTAAAGTAAGCAAGTGGAAGAATTGTTTGTCCAACTTAACTAACTAACATCAGTCTAGCAACTTTAAAATAAATAAAATATAGATTTATCAGTTCTCGCACAAAAAAAAATGACGGACTAAATTTTAAACTTTCGTTACTGTTGCTCGCAATATCACAGAAAGTAATTTGCACAACCTTCGTTACCAGGCGAAAAAAACAATACTTGAGGTTGAGGACAAAATGTGTCAGTAAAATTAACCTGCACCTCGTAATACTGTGCCCCTTTAACGCAGTCTAATTTTGTTAGTATTAACAACGTGCAAATACTGAGCCAAATTCATTATATTGTTGCTCACATAGGAAAGCAACAATCCTTAAAGAAATCATTGGATATAATTATAAAATAATATTAAACGTTTTGGCCATTTCTGAACATATTGTATGCTGCTGTCTTATGGGAAAAGAACCGAGAAAGCGATCATTTATACCGCTGTACGATAAGCTAACTGGCAATTGTTTGTATTAATAGCTTTTACAAGTAGTCTTCCTCAGTAACCATTTAAATAAACATCGAACCCCCTTCTTTTTGGCCCAACTTGGGAAATTTCATACATGTAGTACCAAGATTAAATTTGGTTCAGATAATTATTTAAAGGTATGATGGACAATACGATAATTTGATTTTCTTTTTTAGTCAAGAAAATAATAATTCTGTGATGATATAGAATTTTGTGATAATAGGGACTTAACAAAGAAATCTCAATCTCACCTTTACTTATTGTGGATGTCGCATTTCTTGGGGACATTTTATTTTGTGTGGGGGTAATGTTACAGGGATGTAAAGGTGGCTACACAAAGTAAGGTGAGAAACAGTTCCTCCATAAATCCGTTTTTGAGTGCAAAAAAACATTAATTCCCATAAAGATATCAATTTAACATTTCCATGCTAAATTTTGTTGACTTTAAACTTATATATTAGTAGTTGTGCCAATTCTGTCATGCGAACTCCTGGGGCAAGTGCGGGTTGTACCATTTCTATGTGCCCACATAACGGCTCTTTCAGTATTTGCAGCTACATGTACAACATATAATCTACCCGTAGCAATTCACTTTTTCAGTATTCATATTAATTTAAAGCCTGTTATTAGATGCGACATTTTTTATGTTGAATTCAATTTAAATATAATTTATACAGATTATAAAATATTCATCTTCATTGCTGAGATTATTCATCATCTAATTACGTTAACACGCTGCTCAGCAAATTCTGAATAAATGTATTAAGTTGCCCAATTATTAAATATCAGAATTTTTTCCAGTAAGGGATGTTGAACAAGAGTGCTTCTCTTTGCTGGTTTGGCATGGCAAAAGAGCGTACTCCTTTCCCTTCCTCCGAAAGAGGAAGTAAGGTTCATTAGGTTATGTTAGGTTATGTACCCCGCCGCAGCAACTACGGCAGCCAACAATTTTCGAGAATGCTTCATGTTAACACTTTATATCAAAATATCCGATATATTCTTTAAAGTGTTCGCGTATTTCATCCTCAGTGAGACCATAATTCTTCAGGTCATATCTATGGCGGCCATATTTGTTTTGCGGGTTTTCCATAACATATCTCTCCATCCTCTCTCTCCCGTGATTGGTTAAACTTAGTCCAAATTTCTCGTATATCCGCTTAACAACAGTCATTGGTGACGCTACCAGTTCCTTGTAATCAATGTCAATAAACCTGTGCCCTACTTCTGGATGCTCTTGTCTGAATTTTAACATTTCTCTCCCACCGTGTCTCCATGGAACTTTAAGAAATACCTGGAATATATTTGAATTAATTTTAAAACTTTAACAGTGAAATCCAGCTGACAGGAAGTAAAACAGCAGATTAGAAAAAAATTGGGCAGTCATTAATTTAATTAAACTTTAAACTGTAGCTTAAAGGTACCCTACATTGCGGGATTTCTGCGCCAAAATCTATTTTTCCAAGAGAGGAAAAAGCAATATTCTCCTGATCACAAATTATTATAAGACTGCCAAAGACTTTCCGTCATCTCAGAAGGAAATATCAGGTTCTTTTATTTCTCGGATTATATCGTTTTAAACGTCTTAATTGAAGTGGTAGCTATGCAGGATATTTAGATAGAAAATATGACTGTACATCTCCACCACCTTTATAGGGTTTAAATATTCCCGCCATTTACAATGTACCTCGACAGAAAATAGATTTTATTGAGTTGATCAGGCATGATTATCCCCGCCCCCCTCCTCCTGCATCAGTGATTCACTGTAGTTAAAATCATAAAAAAATATCATAATAAATAGAATTAAAATCACCTTCCCCAATGCTTCCCTGTCGATTGCCTTTAAATCAAAACCGCTACTCTGTCTAAAATGTTCAAGGTTTGAACAAGTGGACGCCGCCACTTCTACCGGATCCCGGTACGTGTGAATAAATAGAGCATCCGGATAAGCGTTCAATAAGGCCTCTAGATACGCGCTGTGAAGAGATTCTTTCAGAATCAAACGTCGGTTGTCAGGTGTTGAATCTGAAAATACAGTAAAATCTATTCCCAATAAATCAAACAGAAGTTATAATTTAGCAGGGGAGTTTAAAATAGACAAACAAATCCATATTTTTGAGCAGTTATCGCGCGCTTTAGCTTTTCCTATCAAAAGGTGGAGATTTTCAAAAAGGCTTCTTAACCATACCCTACCTAAGCCTTTTATTGTAGAGGATCTTTACTACTCTGAGTATTTTTTCTGTAGATTTCGACACATTTCCCCAAATGTTCAAACCAATATATTTTCCTATCAAAAGTTACCGGCATACCTTCAATCAAACAGTAGGTTTTTAAATTTTTTAATGACAAATAGTACATACTTACAAAGCCTAAAAGGAGGGTAGGGCAATATTCAATAATTTCAGTAACAAGGCAGAATATGGTGCTGAAAACGAATATGACAACCATTCCTTTCCACGACAATTATATTTTAATATAAACCTTAAAAGGTTGGTAAATAAAGAGAAAAGAGTTACTCAGGTTGCTTCCTTATATACTTGCTGTAGAAATAGGCTCCAAATGTAAGACATAAGAAAAACATTATACCCATTATGGTACCTTAAATTGCCGATAATTACCATTTGGGAAGGCTGTTTTGAATATCGCTATTTTTACCAACATTGTCGTGTAGAAATGTAATTATCAGATTTGTATTCAGCACCAAATTCTACCTCGGAAAACTCCTGTTAATGAAAACGTTTGAGGTGAACCCAACCCCTTTAAGTTTGTTTCAGAGTTATATAAGTGTTTTGTCTGCCTTTCCAAAAATGGCGGATTAATTGACTCAACTAATACGCAAAGCTTAAATTTCTCACCAGCAATGGATTTTATGGTCCATTTGGCCTACGCGAACACCTGTTCCTCTAGAGATTTTCAAAAAGGCTTCTTAACCATACCCTACCTAAGCCTTTTATTGTAGAGGATCTTTACTACTCTGAGTATATTTTTCTGTAGATTTCGACACATTTCCCCAAATGTTCAAACCAGTATATTATCAAAGTAATCGAAACTTTAGAAATTTTGAGTTTACAGTTACTTAACGAAAATTAAAATCATAGGCAACTGATAATTATTGTAAATATTCGGAAAAGTGTGACAGGGGCTGCACATATAAACAAAAACTACGTCACAAATGTAGCAGAGAAACCTCCGTATATTGACTGGATAGGGTACACCTTGGTAAAAATTGCTGGATTCTTTAGGAATAGTCATAGATAAAGGCGTTACGGCATATTGTATGCCTTTGAACATCAAAAAGACTTACATTCATTCCTGCTGAGAAGGATCAGCTGAAGCTGTTTCTTATGCAAGCGATACGCTTCAGCCATTTCGTCTTTGGTTCTTTTCATGGCCCATTCCAAATAAGTACCGTTGTTTCTTGTGTAACTACCGTATGACTTGAAAATACCCATGTTGTTAAACAAAGAAAAACATTCATATGGTTCTTCAGCTGCAATATAGTGTACTGCTTTCGTGTTGGGAAGTCTGTCGTATAGAGAATCTGGAAGGATAAGATAGAAAATAGTGCTCTTACTTAATTAAAGATCATTAGGCGTCGTGCAGTTTAGCCAAGTTATATTATTCAATACATGTACAAATATAAATATATTTCTAAACGAAGCCATGGTTATCATTAAAACTATTGGCACAAATTCTCCAAAATGTTAAAGTATGTGGAGTGGCGCGATATGAATGAATCCATTAACATGATTTATTACTGAGACAAGAAACTGAGACAAGATTACATCGACGGGCGAAGTTGGCAATCACCCTGACACACTCTTTTTGCGGAATCGCATGTTTCTTCTGGGTCATGGCTACTTTGAGTTCATATAATATATAACAAATGGAATGAAATCGAACCCATTGCTGGGACGGGTCGAGACATGATACGTGACAGGAGAAAATTGCTTTTTTACCGAAGTAGCAGCATAGAAGTATCAAAGAACTGCAATACCTAGTTGACATTTATAGGTTCGAACTCGTGGGTCCTTGGCTCCTATCCTACTGGCGCTGCGATCAGGCACAGGGCTCATCAACTCATAGTAACACGGTGAGGTGTTTTGAGGGTCTTGGCACAATAGGGCTTGCAAAAAAGTGGAACAGGTTCGTGTTGATCCAATTATGAATATTGGTTTGGTCACTGGACACTGAAATTATATAAAGTACATATTAGTGTCTGTTGAGATAATTATGCATAACTGTTTCAAGTAGCATGTCGGAGGTACGGAGTTGTTGTGTGCTTTTAAATATTTAACACATTACCATACGTTATAGACCCTGGAGATCTTCATTCACTACGTTTTGGATAGCTATTTGCCCTCAATTTTTGCTCGTGTGACATGGAAAAGGTACTGGGTGTGAATGTTAGAGCCGTGGCCATGGCAACGAAGTGTTAAAAATTGACCTTACTGAGATCTTAGCTTATTTTAAATAAATGAACTAAATAGACTTCAAATTAATTTCAAGTGCTCGGTCTTAGAATTTAACGATCCTCAAAATTTTCCAATATGGCGACAAATCTCAGATGGCGGCCAATCATTATTATGTAATACAAAGAAGCTATACGTTTACCCATTTCAAAGAATTTTTTTATTATGATATTCATTTGGTTTCAGAAGTTTCGAATGTAACCCCTGCATACGGCAACAACTGTGTCATACCTACAACCAGTTTAATGGTAAAGGAGCAGAAATTGGCAGTTTGGGGCCTAAGTCATATCATAGAAGTACTTCTAAGGTCATATATAATAAAATAAAATACAATTAAAACAGCGCTGAAGTGAATAAAAATCCCTAATTGGGTGGGTGGGTTTTACCTTAATAAAATTACCTAATTGAGATTCTTTTGGAATATTCTATAATTTCAACCAGAGTGTATAAGCACATTGTTTATTAATATATAGTCGCTAATACCCATTGCCAGACATTTCTTTCAGATGTGATAACATAAACAAAGACAATAACCCAAAAGTATTCTTCTGAACATACAGAGGGTATGTGAAATATGGTTGTCTCAACAATTTACAATTACTATAATAAAAACGTGTACGGTCACACAGTTTATTTAAGGTAAACGGTCAATATAACTTCTATGTCCACGTACCTTCGACAAGTCAACAAAGGTCAAACACCTTGTTATTGCTAAACGATTCCGAAGAACCTCTATCATCCTGTTTTCAATGGCCCTTCTACCAGATAAGGTACATGATGTATCTTCTCGAAAACATTTTAATAATATTGTGCATCCGTCATACCACCATCGGCGGGTAAGGGCTTCTGACAACAGAAGACGACGCTCCTCTTTAGAAAAATTGCTCAATAAATTTTCCTCCGTAAGTGGACATAAGTATCTAGCTAAGAAAACCTGGCAAATCCAATCAAGAAACAGACGAAGGTGAAGGCTGACCAACAGCGAAATCTTGTTGAGAACCGTCATCCTTGGAGATCGTCTCGTACCTTTGGGGTATTGGCGGAATCTGACCTGGTATTATAATAAAAAAGCCTAATTTAGGAGCTTTGCGTGACTTTTAGTTTCTTTTTAATGTAAATGCATTGTAGTGCATAATTTATTGCCATCACATTAATCTGTACACACCAACTAATCTCTCGCAATAATATAAAAAAAATTGTAAAAATTTCTTTTCAATAGAAAATGTTACTGTTGTAATTGAAATGACTTTCACTTTCACGAATTGCAGATAATAATTAAAACGGAATCAAACGAGTTGAAGGACAGGGGGTTATTGGGTGTAAGTTAAATTTCTTTTAGAGTCAACAAGTGTAGAAAATGTTTTCGTGGTAGGAAAAGATGGAACATGTCACAGTCGCATATATTTCGATTTGATTGGTTAATTTCTCAATAGATTTGCAAGTTTCTGACACGTGCTAAACGCGTGCAAACTAAGGATGGCTATGGTCCAAGCTTGAGTAATTTAAATAATATTTGAAATATTTGAAATTGTAAACAAGCCCCTTAGAAATTGCCTAATGAGGAAATGTAACATGGTGGTTTGCAACATGAGAATGGAAAATTCCTTGTAATCACGCAAAGACAATGGAAAGAAAACAAGTAAATGCATGATCAGTGCGGAGAAGTAGAGTATAAATATGAAAAAGGCAGTCGGTGAATAAACACTCGAAAGCTGCAGACCGTCCTGTTTCCTCACTATCACACTATACTTTATCAAAAATGGTTCCATTTTTTGGGGCCACCCTGTATATGGTTAATTGACATTTGCAGTCACGCCGTACACTTACCTGGAGCTTTTGAAATCCCCTTTAAAAAGAAGTATAGCTTGTAGCTATAAACACAGTCATTTAAATTACAGACTAATTTACCGAAGGTTAAGCACCACCATGTTATGGCGAAAATGTCTACAGTGCATGTACTGGTATGCAGTACTATATATATATATATAACATGTGGTGGTTGAAGTTTATAGCAGAAGGCGTATTGTCTCCGAAGGCTAGCCTCATTTTGGAAATAAAATAAAATAAAATATTATAATTAGAAAGGTCTAGAGAGGCAGATTGTGATAAAAAAGTTATGTGCAATAAAAAAATAGGATTTTGTGACCTTGACCTAGATAAAATTTTTAATTTACAATTTTGAATGCTTTCAAATAAAAATTGTCAAACCGACATTTGCACAATAAAATACTGTCAGAATAAAGTCGTTCCATTTTTGCCTGACTGCTAAATCCGGAAAAACTGCTAACAAAAATATACGCGGTTTCATTTATATATGTATAGAAAAACAATAATTTTTTAGCAACATGACAACAGAGGATTTTGAATTTTTGGTTACAAGTACAGTCTGCGTATTCTCCAGATCTATCCCCTTTGGATTTTTTTCTGTGGGGATACCTAAATAACAGTGTCTATGCCAAAGATCCCCCAATGATGCGCTCAAGAATACCCACTGTCCCGACTGCGGGTACCGCTCCTAGGGTGTCTGGGGCGGTGGGAGCATATGCGTTGGTGGCAGAATTTACTCTGGCGCCATCGGTGGTCATCTTTGAAAAACTGAATAAGAAATATTCTGGAAAGCGCTTGCCTCCCATTTGTTAGCAGAGCAATGTCCGTTCACAAAGAGAACTTAAAATTGCACATTACTTGCAGTGCCATGAAGCTGAGCAGCTGCCGTGGCCATCAAGATCGTCAGATATAAACCCTGTAGAGAGATTGTGGTTAAAATTACTCAGCGAGCCAATGGTCTACCGATCGTATGCCAAATCTAAACCAACTCGGGACAAGTTCTGACCGATGCCTGGAATGTTATTCCATAACAAACTCTATGATACCTGTCAGAGGGGATCCCCCTTCGCTTGAGAGCCTTGGTAGCAGCAAGACTGGAAAGAGGCCCGTTTCGTCTGTTTATTTGGTTGCACTAAGCAAGAGTCCACGCAGAGTTAGTTCGAACTACCTAGCACGACAGTTCCAATAGGACCACGCCCTAAGATCGTTTCAGATATCAAAAGAGTTGTTTCCCAACTTCCACGTACAGGTAGCGACAAAAGGTTATTTCTGACGCTCTTATTGGCGACAATAATCATCGAACCAGTTGCACTTAGGGCACTCTGGAATGTTCAAAGCTGGGGTCGCGCACTAGTCTTTCGACGTCAATTTTACCGCCTGTAAAATGAAGAAAGTAAATAGCATATTGTATATTTAAAAAACTTTAAATATTGCTGCCTTACCCTGGCTTGGCGTTTTACATCTGAAATGTACAGGTTCGCAACGACCAGGCCGTGCGGCCACTATAATATCCTGTTTTTCCAAACGCAAGTTTTATTTAGATCAAGTGCTCGTTGGAAGTACAATTTTTCCCTCACACAAGTATTTTAACCTAGTCGTGGAAATGAAATTAGGGAGGTGTGATTACTGCATGGTTGCCCTGCACAGGTAGAAATTTAGTTTTCGGGTCAAACTTTTATTTACTGTCTACCAGCACGTATATTTTATTAGCACCTAGCTAATCAGAAGAATAATGTTTCACACAAAATAAATCCACATCGTTAAAATTAAACCAGAAAAGCAAATTTATGGATGGGAAATCAGTAAAACCGATGTTTTTTTTATCCCTTGTTCCCTATAAAATAATGTAGTCATTGCCACTTTTTTGCAAGTTTATTCTTTTTCAGTGATAAACAATTACGGAGAAAAGCAGAACTGTGAATTTTACGTCTTTAAACAAAAAATATATATTTAAGAGTTATTCTTGTAAGTCTTTATGATGGACATCAGTTTTTATAATGAACCAAGGGTGTTTGACTGGAAAACTTTGCAATGCATGAAAGCGGCTAACAAGGGACTGTTTTTACGCACTACTAATAAGTAAACATTATATATTATTTAAAAGATGGTTAACATCATCTTTAGACTTTTTAACATGAAATTGGAAGCAAAGTAGAAATATATTTGATGAAATTCACATGGGTCAATTATATGACCTGCAGCTGCGTTCATTTTTAAATATATACTTATGAAAATTTATACGTGTTGAAGATAATAGGCCTATACCTATTTGAAGTCCACATTACATCTAAAGATCAGTTATTTTTTTCAGAAAAATATTTAAATCAGGGTTGATTGAAATCGTTCCTCAAAATAATTTCAAAAATGTTCACGAAATACATTTTGCTTCAAAATATGACACAAAAAAAATTTACGTGGAACAGCGCGTTGAAATAGTGCAGTATTCGGTAAAACTTGGATAGTACAGTAGTGCAGGTTAAAACATTGCCATTGGAAAATCTGACCTGGTCCAAAGGTTCATTGAAGGTGCATTGGTCCGAAAGTTCATAAGTCCGAAGGTTCATTAGTCCGAAGGTTCGATAGCCCGATTGCACTGTATAAATAAAGTGTATGCTGTTCTAGTAATAGAGTAAATTAAGTTCATGACAGACGCGTGAGTAGCCACATTAGACATAGATGAAAATTCAGGGAGTAGGCCATGGCCGTAGATAAATAGCAAAAGCGTTGATAAATTATGTGCTCTTTTCTGTCATGATACACATCTATGAATATCTAGTGAAAAATCTGTAACCTTGGCAGGGGGTAGATGATATGTTTTTTAACGTGTTTCCTATTTTTATTCCTCCTAAAACCACCAAATGGGGAAAACAAAGACCAACAACGTCACAATCACTGCAGGTTCAGCGCACAATGCCCGTAAGGCAGGGGCGAATCCAGGATTATTTGGAGGGGGGTCCGCGGATGCGGAGCCAGTACATATCAAAACCGTCAATAGGAGTGCTAACACATGAATTTTCGTGCTAATGAACCTTCGGACCAATGAACCTTCAATTTTCGGATTAATGAGCCTTCGGACCAATGGACCCTTTAATTGAAAAACTGATGAAAATTCTACGAATTTTCAGATCAATGAATCGGACCAATGAACCGGACTATCGAGACATCCCCATTTTAATAGTATTATTTAATACTATTAAAATATTAAATCGAAGATTATTGTTTGTTTGTATTATAAATGGTACTTGCCCATTCTCGGCTCTGGCGTCAAGGGTTTGGGTGGTGGGAGGCGTTTTCGTACTTACAGACAAACTTCTCTTTCTCTTGACTGATATCGTCTCGCTGGTCGTAGCTCAACTAGACACTGGTCAGTATTCGGTTCAGGAGTTCACGTTGGCGCTATCGCGAAAGATTAGTGGACCGTAGATGACCTAGGGATAATAACTCTTCGTATGAGATCTATATTTCACAATAAAAACATTGTGAACAACTCGTAGAAATATAATATATTCTGTTTTACCACAAAAACGGCAGTTATAGCTATTAGTCTGATATCTGAGCTTGTATTTAGACCACGCGTCCTCCATTGATGGCTATACTCTGTTATAATCTCTTAAGAGATTATAACAAAAAAAAAAAAAAA